ATCATTCAAGGTAGGAGAGGGGAGGAGAGTTAGTTTTTGGAGACATAGGTGGTGTGGAGATAACATGTTGAAGGATGATTTACCGAACATGTACCGAGTATCATGCCAAAAGGAGTTGATAGTCCAACAAATTCGGAGGATAGAAGGTGAAGAGATTTTTGGGATTTGAGATTTGGGAAGAGTTTCCATGATTAGGAGGTGATTGAGATCCAAAGATCGATAGACTTGCTCCATAAACAATGTACGTCACCAGATGGCCATGATGCATGGAGGTGGGGGTTGGGGAATACAGAGTATTATTAAGTCTTTCTATGAAAAGCTTTTAATTAGGGAGCAAATTGTTTTTCCATATAGCTCGATTTGGATCCCGAAGGTGCCGGGGAAAGTATGCTTCAAGATTGATCGACTTGCTCCATAAATAATGTACGTCACCAGATGGCCATGATGCATGGAGGTGGGGGTTGGGGAATACAGAGTATTATTAAGCCTTTCTATGAAAAGCTTTTAATTAGGGAGGAGATTGTTTTTCCATATAGCTCGATTTGGATCCCGAAGGTGTCGGGGAAAGTATGCTTTACTTGGTTAGCAGCTAGAGGGGTGATCTTGATGGCCGAGAACCTTAGGAAGCGGAAGGTCATTTGTGTCAATTGCTGCTTCTTGTGCAAGGAGGCGGGTGAAGATGCGGATCATCTCCTTGTATATTGTCGTGTTGGCTCAAAGTTATGGGGGAAATACTTACTTGGTTTGGTATTTCATGGGTGATGCCAAGTACTCTTAAAGAATTAATGATCAATTGGAATTGTGGGAGGAGGAGGAAAAGGCACATGGCATGGACTGCTGTTCCATTAGCACTCATGTGGTTTATAATAAAAATGGACCTCGAGCCTAACTCAACCTCAAAAGTTAGCTCAAAGGGTGAGGATTGCCAAGCCATATAAAGAGTCCAAGGAACTCATCCATCTCCGATGTGGGATTCCATCACCCCGCCGCACGCCCAGGCTGGCCAACTGGAGCGTGAACAATCTATCTTGGGGGCCCAACAATGGGGGCCTGGCTCTAATACCTTGATAAGAATGGACCTTGGGCCTAAATCAACCCCAAAAGCTAGCTCAAATTATGAGGATTGCCCAAGCCATATAAAGAGTCCAAGAATCCATCCATCTCTGATGTGGGATTCCATCAGTTTATTTGGAGGGAAAGAAACATATGAGCTTTTGAAGGGGTAGAGATGAGTTTTGTTCAGTTGAGGAGTAGCCTCCTATCCCTTATTTTCTTTTGGTGCACCCATGAAGTTCGTTGTTGTATAGAATATTGGGTGTCCTTCGTAGAGAACCTTATTTTTTGGTAGGTTTTTTTACTTTTTGGTATACGTCTCGTATACGGGCACTTTTCTTTTGGCCCTATCATTAATGAGAATTTTATTTACTTGATAAAAAAAAAATCTGAAGAAATATGGTTGATGTATTCCTGTTTATTTGTATTTCCTCATGGCAGTGGTTCATACGTATATTTTATTCTGCAGAGAACGAAAATAATATCTGAATTGTTAATATCTGTTTCAAAAGCTGAGAGGCAAGAGGCACGAATGAAAGTGCGACAGGAATCTTTGAGACTGGGCAACGTGGGAGTAATCAGGTACCTCATCCTTATCACGTGTTACTTAGAGCAAGCAATTTGCTGCTTGGTCTAGTGTATATAATAAGTTCAACAGATGACTTCAACTAAGCTGTCCATAGGAAGCCGCCAGCAATTATATTTCCTCATCAAACCTACTTAAAGAAAGTTTGTTTACCCATCAACAGAAAATCTATTTATAGAGTGCCCAGTGTTATATAAGCGTCACATTTTGATCTAATGGTAGAATTTTGCTAAAGTATCAAAGTGTTCACTCATCTCCAACGATGCTGTCCTTTGTTTATCTGTTGTGTTCATTTTATATTTGATATGAGGGAAAATGCTTTATAATATTTCGACGCTTTGGAAGCGAAGGGTACTTAATCTAATATGCAAAATATAGCCTGTATTTCTGCTTCTTATCTGGAAATGTACTCTGTTTTGTCTCTAGGGATTTTGAATTGTTTAGCACTATGGTATCGATTGAAGGTCACATGCTTCAAAAATTCCCCAACTGTTGTTCTGACCATGCTTTAAGAGATTTCCATGATTTCTTTCAGAAGCTTGCATAGCAAGTTATTGCTCAAAAAGCACATTCACTTTTGGAATATAGTGATGACTGTTGAAGGTGCTTTACAATGGACGTGGTCATGGTTTAACCATAGGATGCCAGCTGGAGATTGTAGGTGAAACTGGAGCTTTTGTCTTATGTAAGATGCTAGTCAAGTTAATTCTGAAAAAGAAATGGAAGCAAAACGAAATATCTTGAAAGAAAGAATGGCTTTACGGTTTATGTGGATTGATATCCGTAGTTCACTGGACATGTATACCAGATGACTGTGCTATCATTATCAATCCAAGGAGTAAGAAGTAGATTCTCTAGACTATGCACTATGTGTACTGCGCTACCTCTATTTTGCTTACCTTGCCAGGGCAAACTTAGAACCAAAATATTCAAGTATCTTGTTAGTTTCTGGTAAGGAAATTTGGAGTCTTGATCCTTTCACTTAACAATTTACTAGGGGTACCATTTAGGCCCAGAAAGGGCTGGTGATATCTTCATAGACGTTTGGAAGTGGCTTTGAAGCAGTTGTAGTAGTATGGCGAACCAAGGTATTCAATGACATATTTAAGAATGAAAAATGCCAAATTAGTAAGAAAGTATATCTGAAATGAGAACCTGTTTGATTTTATGCTTAATAGATCTGCAATAGTGGTTATATTTTTTATAAGAAGATGGATGATATTCTATAGGAAGAGACAGAAAGATCTGCATCTGATATTCATTGGCCTAACTAAAGCAGATGATAGAGCACTAAGAAATATCTTTTAGTTTGAAAAAAATTCATATCAATCATACAAGTTCCATAAAGGATATTTGTGAAGGAGCATTCACAAGTGTAAGAAGTGAGAGAAGGTAAAGAGGAGTTCCTATAATTGTGTTTACGCGAAGGATCTCTCTTGAGTCGGTACTTGTTTACCTTAGTTATAGATGAGCTAACAGTCATTTACTTATAATCAACCCCAATTAGTTTGGGATTGAGGTTCTTGTTACAATCGTATAATGATGGATTCCATGGTGCATGTTATTTTCGTAGGGCATTAGGTTAAATGACTAAACCAGTAAGAGAGTGAATCAAAGTTTGAAACTATGGATAAGCACTCTAGATAATGAGGTTTTAGGATAAGTAGAAGAAAGACATAATATATGCACCAAGTTTAGCTACCACAACAAAAATAAAAAATAAAGGTGAAGTGGGATTTGACGGGATTGTGATGTCTAAACACAAATATCGAGATACCTAAGCTTAGTCCTGCAGGAGAAGGCATAATAGATGCAAATGTAATAGATAGAACCACTCTTCTCAAAAAATGCAATAGATAGAACCACAGTAGGATGACTTTTTAGAAAGAAAAAAAGAATTAAAATTGCATGTCTGAAATAGAGGTATGCTACAGGAGTGATATTCAAAAAGGAAGATACATAACAAAAAGAAATGTAATTTCTGTATAAAGGTTGAGAGACCAACAACGTTATATGGGAGTAAATGTTGGGCATCTAAGGTCTACCATATCCCTAGATGAAATTGTAAAAATGTGAATTTTAAGATGGATGTACAAGATTGGACAAAATTAGAGTGATCATATCCACTTTGCAAGTAGCACATATAGAAGATTAAACAAAACAGAGTTTCATCTGGCCATATCTTTATGTAAACTTGCATATCACCAGCCCGTTGGTGCAACACTATAATGGGCGAAGGTAACATAATAAAACAATGAGATAACCTAAAATGACATGGAAAGAAGTTGACTTAGAACACCTACAATCTTTCAGATGCGGACACATATAAAACATAGAATACTATGGAAGCAGAAAATCCGTATGATTAATAACAACTAATTTGGAGTAAGGTTTAATTGTTATTATTAGCTTACTTTAGGTGTGTTGTTTACGAGTAATTTTTTATTTTAGTTAGAGACTTCTTGTTGTTGTTGTTGTTGTACTTGTAGGTCTGCCTAGGAATAAGTTTGAGGCTTAGAAAAACTCTAGCTTGAGAGAACTTCTATTATGTCTTAAAGGACAAATATTCTAGTGTTGAAAATGAATGATCTGAATAGAGCAAAGTAGACATAGAGGATTCATATTATCCAATCACAACTATGGATTGAGGTGTAGTTAATTGATTGATTGTAGTTGTGATTTTGTAGATGTATACATATGAAACAGGTGTACCATTAGAACTCCATAATATCAGTATCCTGTATGCCAAACTCCTCTTAGTATCATTTTAATCTAACCTCTTCATTTTTGTGACTGCTGATTGTTTTCTGTTCTTTATGTTCTTTGGTTAATTGCAGAGCTGGAACCATTATTTCTGAGGCCTGGGAAGATGGGCAAGCACTAAAGGACCTCAATGCTCAGCTTGTACGTTCCTTAATTTGGTGTTCTCGCAAGAGAGTGCTTGTTTTTCATTATAGGGATATATTAAGGTGTCTATACTGACGATTAACATAGTTACTACACTTCTGTTTAGCTTATACAGTACAATAGAGCTTCAACTTATGTCTTAACAACCATGTCCACAAAAGAAGGGGAGACTTAAATTAGGAAAAGTTAGTATACTGAAATCTAAGAGTTCAAGTAAAAAATTTAAATAACAGTTTAAAATTTGATGAAGGGCTATAATTAGTTGAAAACACACCACACAACACCACTAATAAGATGGACGAACTGGCACTAGTTTATTCTGCCTGGATCCTAGAACGCACAAGAGTTGTCCATCAGGGAAGGAGATCAGTAAAATTGATGGATAAAAAGGAAAGCAGGCCAAGTAACTTTGGACATTTTCCAGTTTAGTTCTATTTCGAAGAAACTTCTGTTAGATTTCTTGCAAGCTGAACTCACCGATAAGCCCAATACACACTTATCCTGTGTGCTATTTAGTTTTTGCTGTTTAATATTAGTTACACTGCTAATCATTGCTTATCATATGCCTAGATTCAATAGGTATTATTGTTAATGGATTTTTTTTTTCTTTAGAGAAACTTATTAGAAACTAAAGAAGCTATTGAACGGCAGCGTAAATTGCTCAAGAAACGACAACCAGGTAAAGTTTTCCCTTTGAATCATATGTACTTTCTCATTTTTCCTTCTCTTGCTAGAAATGGTGTTATTTTGGTGCATGAATGTGATTTCCTCCTGAAAATGTCCCTAACCTGTATGCTTTTTAGTAATGGTACTAGACCTCTAAAACTTCTTTTACTATATTTTCTGGACTTGAATCTGCTTTGTGTTAAGTGGTTGCATGGCATTCCAAAGGTCAAGACATGTTGGGGTGATTTTCAATTTCATTCCTGTCTTGTCAGCTGGCATTAGAATAAAGCTGGAGCTTTAAGCACAACATATGTTATTTATTGTCATCTTTTGCTTGAGTGTGGTTTCAGCAACATTTGCTGGAGGTCCTGTCTTATTATAATTTATAGTTGCTTATGTCTTGTCAGCTTGGAAGTACTCTCTGATTAAAATGACTTCCACGTTGGGCTTCTTGTTCATGACAGTTTTGTCAAAATTTCAGCAGGAATAGCTGTTCATTTGATTTTTCAATTTCCTGGACTGTCTCAACTATGTTTCTTGAGGTATAAAAGGTTACTAGCAATAATGCTTACCCTACCATTGCAGATAAAAGTGATGGAGGAGATGTGGAGGGAGGTTTGCAGGAAGAAGATTCTCTCATTCAGGATGAGATCTACAAATCTCGTTTAGCCAGCATCAAACGTGTAACTGTTCTCTCTTTTTTTTCTTTTTTTTTGAATATTTGTCCACATGTCAGTTCTTTGTCCATGCTTCACACCACATTTTCTTTTTAATTAGGAGGAAGATGTGATAATGCGTGAGAGGGACCGATATGAACTAGAGAAAGGAAGGCTAATTCGTGAAATGAAACGCATACGTGATGAAGATGGTTCTCATTTTAACAATTTTCAGATTTTGAACCACCGATATGCCCTCTTAAACCTTCTTGGAAAAGGAGGATTTAGTGAGGTGTACAAGGTAGGAATTTTAAAGTGACTGCTCGTCTTATTACCAGTCAAAAAAAACCAATAGAATGATCAGTCACCAAAATTGCACTGTAGACCTCTTTTATTTGGTAAATAGGTTGAGACAAAATATCGTTCCATTCAATTCAAATTGCAAAATTCTGGCAGGCTTTCGACTTGGTAGACCATAGATATGTTGCATGTAAGCTACATGGACTAAACGCTCAGTGGAGTGAAGAGAAGAAGCAAAGTTATATACGGCATGCAATCAGGGAGTACAACATCCACAAGACTTTGGTGCACCATCACATTGTGCGGCTTTGGGACATTTTTGAGATAGACCAAAACACCTTTTGCACTATCTTGGAGTACTGTAGTGGTTTGTTACTCTCTTTATTGCATAATCAATATAGTACAGTTGAAAAATAAAAAAAAATTATATGGTACAATTGTTATTATGCTCAGTGGAATGAAGTATTTTAGGATTCCCTCTCTCATATTGGTCATAAATGTTCTTGTCTGTAGGAAAGGACCTTGATGCAGTTCTCAAAGCAACACCTGTGTTGCCAGAAAGAGAAGCAAGAATCATCATTGTGCAGATTTTTCAAGGCCTTGTCTACTTGAATAAGAAGTCACAGAAGATCATCCATTATGATTTGAAGCCAGGCAATGTTTTATTTGATGAGTTTGGCATTGCTAAGGTCACTGATTTTGGCCTTAGCAAGATAGTGGAGGATGATGTTGGATCCCAGGGGATGGAGCTAACATCCCAGGGAGCTGGAACGTACTGGTGAGTGGTAAATTTTTGAATGTCACACTTAGCATTATTTTTACCAGGTGTATTAGTTCGAAACTTACTTTTGCTTTCATCTCTTGCCTCCGTAAAGTATTAATAAGGTCCACTATTTCTGTCAATTGATTTTTCAGGTATCTACCTCCTGAATGCTTTGAGCTAAGCAAGACACCTCTTATATCCTCAAAGGTGAGTGCTCCTGCTTTACTTTCACTTGTCGATAAAGTTAAATAGGTATCCACTGAAATCCAGGAGAAAGGTCCTCAACATTTTCTTTAGTTCTTATTTCTAATGATCTTGGACTAATGCAGCGTCTGCATCTTAATTGATGCATTTATCCTAAAAGTCCAACGAATGAACAGTTATTTGTTTATGAAATAAACTTGTGATTTTTATTTATGCAACTAGGTTGATGTCTGGTCAGCTGGTATTTTGTTGTACCAAATGCTGTTTGGCAAACGTCCCTTTGGGCATGACCAGTCACAAGAAAGAATACTAAGGGAGGACACAATTATTAAAGCAAGAAAGGTTGAATTCCCTACACGACCAGCTGTCTCTAATGAGGCAAAGGTGCGTTTTTTTCTATCCTTATCTGACAAAGATATGATTAATTGTCCCTTTTTTTTGTGAATCATTATCAAGAGCAACTGGTGGCCCTCAAACTCAGTTGATATTGTTATTGTTACCAATGTGCAGTAGATATACCCGATTATATGATAAAATGAGTCAACCGACCAATGGTTTGCCTTCTCTTCTAGGGTCATTTGATGCCCCGAATGTGGTTAAAGTTGCAAAATAGCTATATTGTATTTTTAGTGATACAGAATAGATATGGTTTCAATTCGAGTACATCCTCCGATGCTCAAATTGACTCCATGCTCTTATCTCAGTCCACATCGACTACTTTATATTGCCAGTATGAGAGTTGTCCAAACATACCAAGACCAAAGACTTCTAGTATATATCAAGATTTGGGATCAGGGTTCAGAACTTATGTCTAGTATCCCATATGACTACTTTAGGCCATAACACTTGGCATACTAGCTGTTTGATGAAACAAAATTCAATTAAGCTATGTACAAGATAAGTTACATTCCAACAGAAAACAGTATTTACTAGGACAAAATGGAATTATGTTTTATTTCTTCCTGCCACTTATTCTTGGATAGTTGATTCACTCTTTTCTATGGATTTTGAGCAGGAGTTCATTCGTCGTTGTTTAACATATAATCAAGCAGATAGGCCAGATGTTTTAAGTATTGCTCAAGACCCTTACTTGACATACTCAAAGAAATGATAGGAGGATGTTAATCCCAACTACTTGGACAGAGGGTATTGGGACGAGGATTGGTGCTCAAAGGAATTTTGTATAGTTGTAAAGCCATGTAATTTTTTGTCCCTGTACCTTCGACTAGAGTGGGGCGGCTCAAGGGGAGCTTTGCTTTAGGCCCCAAAATTTTGGGGGCATTTGCATCTATACCCAGTTTTTGGGTTAACTTTTAACTTATATCCGCATTGCAAAAAAAATTGCAAGCATACCTACTTTTCGGGTAACTTCAGACATTCGGGTCTGAAGTAGCAAAAATTTATGTCTGAAGTTTGAACTTCAGAATGTTTTGCCTGAAGTGTAGTAAAACTTCAGATATTTTTGCCTGAAGTTTGGCCTGACTTGCAAAGTCAATCACGCAAACTTCAGTTCATAGTGCAATGGCAAACTTCAGCTCAATAAAATTACAGCATGTTTTGGCTGAAGTTTTTGTTTTGTAATTGTTGAACTTCAGCATTTTAGGAACTGAAGTTTGTTTTGTAATTGCTGAACTTTAGCATTCTAGGGGTGAAGTTTGTTTTGTATTTGCTGAACTTCAGCATTCTAGGAGTTGAAATTTTTGTTTATATTTGCTGAACTTCAGCATTCTTAGAGCTGAAGTTCTAAGTCTGCACACGGAAATGAGGAAGATAATCCTTCAAAAAAAGAATTCACCAAAAGAACATATTGTTCATAAACGAAATAGTACTAAACAACAATGAATTTAATAGATCATGATTAGCATCGATTGATGTTCATTTCAAAGATTAAAAAATGAAAAATATTTTTGACATGAAAACAAGTTACTACAGATAAATTAGAACCAAAAATCAATGTGCCTTTAAAGCTAAAATATCTAAGAGGTTAAATTATTGTGAATAAGATCAAACTGAACATAATGGGACAAACAGATATATATGAATCATCAGGATAGAACGCATAACAATATCTCAAGCTTCAGCATTCAGAAAACGAAAGAGGAGGAGAAAGAGGTTTAAAGTTGTTTAAAAAGTGGGTATAAGTTAAAACTTTTTTAAAAAGTGGGTATAGGTTAAATGGGAGCGACCAATGCAAGTTTTACAAAATTTTGAGGCCCAAAAACTTTTAATAGTACATTTTATGATTTTATATTATTCTAGACAACATTAAAGTTTGTGGAAAAAAATATAAATATTTTATTTAAAAAAAAAAGGGAAGATGACTCCGTACTTTGTAATTGATGGTGACTGAAAACAACTTCAACTGAAAGGAGCCGTGAGAATTTGAAAAAAAAATTTACATCAACCTTGAATGTCTCTAAAAACGTAATAACCAATTTGATAATAACGGTTAAATTTACTATAAAATTAAGTGTTCAAGAGGAACTGTACAAGTAAAAGATAATGGAGTAGCACTTTAATGGGAAAAGGGCCAAAAATGTCTCTGAACTATAGAAAATAAAATAAATTTGTTCTCCATTTGAATTTGGTCCAAATATTGTCCTTAGCTAGCGTTTGGATATAGATTTGGTTGAAACTTGAAAAAATAAGTTTTTGAAAGTTGAAATTGTGTTGAATCAAGACCGATCAAGTTACATAAGTTCAAAATATTAGGGTGAATATTATGGATTTACCCTATGTTCACACATAATTATTCAGTGAAAAATTTACCCCTTATAGTAAAATTATCCTTTAAATGCAGATAATTATAGAAAAAGATTCTTATAGCTAGTATCACGCCATACCGTTTGTTGAAGATTTTACATGATTATGTTAAATCTTTTATGCCCATAATCAAATGCCAAAAATTTGTGTCTGTCCTCTTTGAGTGTTGTGTCTGCATCAATTTGGTCAAATTTCCTATCTTTAGTAACTAATAATATTATACACATAATGTGAAAACATCCTTTTAATGCAAATAATTATCAAAAATACTCTTGTTACATAGTAAAATGCTAGAAATTGTGTCTGTCCTCTTTCAGTATTGAGCCTGCGTATCAATTGGTTATTTTCCTTGTTTAGATTTGCCAAACATGTTAGCTAGACACGTAGAATTGTAAATTTGTAACCATCCACATGCAATATAAGTATTTTTCTCAGTTTTAAGTAACGTTACGTCGATGTTTAAGATTGAAAAAATTGGACTTTTTTTAATTAATGAAATTCCAACATATTGCATCAATTTATATCCTCAATTCTATCAAATTGAAGTTTGTGAAACGCAATACACGATATAGAACAGTTCATTGAACAGCTGGACCTATTATTATATTTTTTTCCGATAATTGGTGATGTCTCTTCCTTAATTAGTGCCTCAGGAAAGCTTGTGTAATATCTTCTGTGGCCTATGATCCTATCAAATTTAAGGATTTAAGTTATACTAGTATATGATAGTGTAAAAATAAATTATTAAGTAATATTAACTCGTTATCTAAGTCAGTTACATCTTTTATTAAATTGCCAATTAATATTTATCAAGAGATTTATCTATAATTATTTAATAATACTATAATAATTTTTTTACTCCACTAATGCATAAATTTTAAACTCAATTTGTAAACCTTTCAGGTAGGGGTGTACAAACCGAACCGAAAAATCGCACCAAACCGAAAAGTCAAACCAAACCGATTAAAAATCCGACTAGGTTTGGTTTGGTATTGAGTAAAAAAAATCTGAACCAAACCGACATAAATATATAGTAATTTTTATATACTTTTAAGATTTTACATAGAATTTTCTTTTAAAAATGTCTAGAAATATTTGGGATTCTCTTGCGGAATATAATATTTAATAGTATATGAAGTGCTCCATATTTATTAACCTTAAATAATGGGTTGTATGATCACTTTCCCATAAAGTGTTACTGAAATGCGTCAATCCCTTTCTTCTTCCATATTCATATCATATGTTAAGATCTATTAAATTCTTATATCTTTTTTGAATGTGAAGTGATTATTATTATTTAGGTATCATATTGATTTTTTTATTTAATTACTAAATTCGGTTAACCTTGAAAGTGTACATCAACAAAAAATTATTGTCAGGCGACTAAAAAAATAACTATTATGCATTACTAAGAATATTTTAATAGATAATATATTTGTCATTTTTTTTATATTTTTACTAAATATATATTTACTTATCAAAAATTTAACAAAGTAAGATTGAAATAATATTTAAGTATTAAAAAACCCGAAAAAATCGAAAACCCGACAAAATCGAACTAATCTAAACCTATATAGTTGGTTTGATTTGGTTTTGATAAAAAACGAACTAATCCGGTCCATGTACACTCCTACTTTCAGGCTTTCACTGCAATCTCTCGTAGTCCTACCTCCCCACACCCCCACCAAAAAAAAAGTAATGATTCGTACTCCATGAGCCTAATTTTATGAGGAAACTCCGTTATATAGAGTCCATTACTCAAATGGTCACTCAACTATCCCAAATTATCTGTTAAAACCACTTTTCATTCGTTTGTAACAACAAAGTCATTTAACTATGCCTATAGCACTCAGAAAATCATTCAACTAGATTTTTCAAAATTTTTATTGTCAAATACCTATTCTACCCTCTAAATTATCAATTTTTTTAAATTTTTTTAAATATTATATTTTTTTTATCTTTTTAATCTACATTGTGGACTACCTATAGAATAAATATATTTTATTTATAAAATAAAAAATAAAAAATTAGTTTTCAGCTCATATAATGGCGGAATAATAATATAATTATGTATACTTTTCAAGAATATATAATGTATATTATAAAAATATTTTTATTTAAATAATTATTTTTATATTACATGCATGGATATACATTTTACGAACAAATTATTCTAATTAAAATTTTGAATTTTTGTTGTTAATACTAAAATTATTATTACGAACAAATTATTCTAATAAATATTTTTACTATGCTCACTATTTTGTTATTCCAGCATTATATATGCTTAAATACTTTTTATTTTTTAAATTTATAAATAAAATTTATTTATTCTATAGGTAAGTCCATAATATAAATTAAAAAGGGAAAAATCATAATATTAAAAAGTTAAAAAAATAAAAAGAAGATAATATTTATAATTTAGAGGGTAAAATAGGTATTTGACAACCTAAAATTTGAAAAATCTAGTTGGGTGACCTTTTAAGTGGTATAAGCATAGTTAAGTGACTTTGTTGTTACAAACGAAAGAAAAGTGACTTTAACAAATAATTTGGGATAGTTAAATGACCATTTGAGTAATGGACTCCCATTATATACAACAGAGACGTGTCTGAAGAAGGCTCAGTCTCAATTAGCATGTATTTGCTATGCTAACAGCATTAACCATCATTTAGTGACTTTATGTCATTCCAACTTCAATCCATTGTCACTTTCAGAACTCAGAAGACCCTTTCCACCTACTTTAATGGTCCTTTTGTAAGCTAATGTTGTCAAAGATCTTTTTTTACGATATTATCTTCCCTCCATTTTTTAATTAAAAGTACTTTTCTTGTTCCAATTGATAGAACCGTGTTTAATTAAACCAATATTTTATTATCCCCAAAGGTCTATTTCTTTTTACTTTCACAAGATAAGGATAAAATATACTTACACATTAACCTTCTCAGACCCACTTATAAGATTACACTGAATTTGCTGTTATTTAATTAAAAAAATATAAAATCAGATTCATATATTGGAATACTGGTGATAGTTGGAAAAATGTTAAAGTAATAGTTGCAAAGTTAGTTTGGTAAACATTATATAAAATTATATTAGTATTTGTCGTGCCTCATTTTTTCGAAGATAATGAGTTTTTCCAATTAAAGTGACATTATTTGAAATGGGATTGATTTTGTATATTTTTTCAAAGTCGCCACTCGGAATTATTTAATTAACGATGTATCGAGTCACCAATTATTTTTGAATCCCAAATCAAGGAAAGTTTGACTCCACCAAATTAAGGAAAGTTTGACTCTGTATAAGTCTACGAAACACAGAAGATCTCGGTAAAGAATCATGTTAACCCAGGAGAAGGGGCACTTCCGAGTTTCGTAGTTTTAGCACGGTCGTTTTACAATTATACATGGCTTAATCATCCGATTATTACATGTGTTAGACATATGTGCATTTTTTTTTACCTTTTACCGCTTTTATTAAAATTAATTTACTCCATTTTAGGCGTTTATGAAATTAATTTGAGACGAATCGCAATGTCATACACTCTTGTTTATGCACATCGCAAATCGCGCCACGTGAAATGCACCCGCAATCTATAGCATGTTTATTTTTATTGTTACTATGAAATTGAAGTCAAATCACGCGAACGTGCACTTGAATTTGGAATTATGTATCACGAGTATGCCACGGGAACCGTTCCCATAGCCACGATAATTCATTATTAATCGTGCTTAAAGCAAACTACGATGTTCAAAGATTATTTCCTAACCTAGTGATTATTGTAAGGACAATAGTTTATAGATGTGGAGTTATTGGAGGTCAAAAATATTTTAGCTATTTGGAGTATTGGCAAGTTATTCACCTTTAGAAATATTTGCAACTATTCCATCTTTTGAGTTATTTTAATATCTACTAATTTGTGACATATAGACTAGCTTTATTAAATAAAAATTAAAAGCAGTGAAATATTATAGAGTAAATTGTTT